GCGTTGCGTCTCCTTCACTCTAGTGAAGAACTTTGTGTGTGGCTGTGACATGAGGTTACTGTCTGTGCAACACATGAAACACGACACAGTGCAGCTGCTCGGCCCCAGTTACTGGTCAGGGAAGCGAAAACCAAATGGCCTGTTTCAGTCCCCAGCTGATCAATCTGCACATCTCTAGCTGTAGAAGGTGACTTACAGTCAACAAGCTGCTAAACAAGCTAGGTGATGTTTAACATCGTGGGCTCATGGAAAATGATCAGTTATCAGGATTAATTTCTTAATGACCAGCATCATCTGTATTAAGACTAAAGAATGAGTTCATCTGATGTTTAAAGTGAATAAAACAGCCCTGCCAGTCTGCTTAACATACTGCGTTTACAACTACTGAAGGATCAAACTGGTTTTCTGCCACCGGACTCCTGAGAGGGAAAGCAGGCAGAGGACCAAACCACTGTGAGGCAAGAGAGGGGACTCAAATGTTCGAAACTTAAACACACTTTTACTGCCTGTGTGTGTTTCTATTGTTTTACTACTTACACAGTTATTCTAAGTACAGTGCAAACGTATTTGATACGCTGCTGTGTTCCTACTTACAAAGCATGTGGAGGTCTGTCATTTTTATCATATTATGTCATGCAATAAAATGCAAATGAATCATTTAAAAATCATACAATGTGATTTTCTGGATTTTTGTTTTAGATTGCGTCTCTCACAGTTGAAGTTAGCTATGATAAAATAACAGACTCTACATGCTTTGGAAGTAGGAAAACCTGCAAAATCAGCAGTGTATCACCATTAGATATTGCTATTGAAGAAATGAAGAAAGAAATGAAAGGAGACAGAGTCACGGCAGTGAAGCGTCTTCCTACTAGATATCAGTGGAAATTAGTTGATAGTCTGTCCTACTGCAGTTTGAGGGAGACGTGCCTCAGAAAGTAATGATTGGCTGCATGAGCTTTAATGTGAGGGAGTTTGTACTCAGCCGTTACGTTGCTTTAAATGTCAGAGAATCGGACATGTGGCAGATCAGTGTAAATCTAAGGGTGTGCTGGAGAACATGAATATGGCCGCTGCGCAGTAGTCACTAAAACTAAATGTTGTAACTGTGGGGGGAACATAGTGCTGCTTACCAGGGATGAGGAGTTCAAAAAAGAGCAAAGATATTCAGAGATACAATAAAGTATCATACGCTGAAGCAGCAAACAAGTCTCATTGATAGTGACAGCAGATTCTCAGCAAAGGACTTCCCTAAACTACCACAGACGCAGAACACGAGTGCCATAAAGTGTTCACAATATGCAGTTAAAGACGATGCTCTGATAGTGGAGAAGTTTCCATTTGTAGCTTTCATAGGTTTGGTAGTGAACGTAGCGCTGCAGCAGACAAAGAAAAGGTCCAGGCTGAGGACTATTGTTGAGGCAGCAAAAGATTTTGGGATCACGGAGATGACTGTAGACATGTTACATGAAATGTCAGCACCGAATGACGGAACATCTCAGTTTAGTGACTAGTTCATAAAGGCTTTCCTTATCCTTCAGTGGAACGCCAGAAGCCTGATTGCAACGCACAAGAATTTAAGAGAAATGTCAACAGTTAAATGTAAAGCCTGACGTTATCTGTATTCAAGAAACATTCATAGTTCAGATAATTTGACAGAAGAAGGTAAAATCAGAAGACGGCAAACTTAGCTAGATACCCGGAGGTACTCGAGAACAGAAACTCTAATCAGAGTCCTCTAGATGAGGCCTTTACCGTGCCTGAGCTGAGGAGGGCTCTGAGTAAGAGTAAAAGAACGACACCTGCTAAAGACAATATGAGCTTTACTATGATAGAACATTTAAATGCTTCTGCATTGGGTAAAGTACTGGAGTTATTGAACAAGGTTTGGGAGGAGGGAAGCTTCCAGTAGGGTGGAAAGAAGCAATTATTATTCAGATTAAGAAACCTGGGAAAGATCCTACAGATCCTGATCATTACAGACCGACAGCTTTAACTTCACATGTGTGTAAACCATGGAGAAAATGATTCCAGAAAGAATAACATACTACTTAGAAAGAAATGAGCTTCTTTCAGCACTTCAGAGTGGATTTAGAAGGGGGCGTAGTACTCTGGACCCTTTAATATGTTGGAACTGATGTTAGGAAAGCTCAAGCTAATAAGAGGGGGTGCTAGCTGTTTTCTTGATATAGAGAAGGCGCAGGAGGTCTTTTAATACAGCGAGATAAAATGGGTATTGGAGGTAAAATGTATAACTGGATCAAAGGTTTCTTATCTGGTAGCTACATTCAGGTTCGTGTGGGGAACTCTACATCAGATGCATTTTAGTTGAAAACGGCAGCGCTCAGGGGAGCGTCATTAGTCCGCTACTGTTTTCAATCAGGATCAATGATGTTTAGAAGAAGGTTCATCCAGACATTGGGAAATCACTTTCTGCTGATGATGGGGAAATTTGGAAACGAGGGAGGAATCTGGAGTATGTTGTAAAGAAAGTTCAGGAAGCTGTTAGTGTGGTTGAAGATTGGTCTTTGAATTGGAGATTTAAGTTTAATCAAACCATCTTTTTAAAAGAAAGGAAGTCAAAGAAGATATTTGTTGAAATTGTCCAATCAAAGGTTAGAAAGAGTGGAAAACTTTAAATTCCTGCGGTTGTGGTTTGATATATTGCTTACGTGGAAAAATCATTTGATGAGGTGGAAGATAAGTGTAAGAAAGTCCTGAATATTATGAGATGTTTAACAGGCAGTGTTTGCTAAGAAATATTTATATTGCATTAGTTAGATCAGTCTAGAATATGGATGTATTGTTTCTGGATCAGCTGCTAGAACATCTTTAAAAAGGTTGGATAAAATTCAGGCCCATCATTGAGGTTATGCTGTGCAGCAGTAAAGTCAACACCAATATCAGCGCTTCAGCTGGAGGTTGGAGAAATGCCACTGATTCTAAGAAGGAAACAGCTGAGGGCCAATTATTGGGCTAATTTACAAAGTCAGAAGGACACACGTCCTACAAAAAGGATTATGAATGAAAGTTGGGAAAGCAGCCAAATGAAAAAGGAGGTATTTAGCAGTGTAATTCTGGATCTTACAAAGGAGTTAGGAATCACGATTGGGTCGCTAGTCCAGCTGCTTTAATGCCAGCTGTTCCACCATGGTTATTACCTCAGCCTACAGTTGATCTTTCTCTGCTGAAACAGGTTACTTCAAGTAAAAACATTGTAGATATGCAAGCTTATGTGAACACGACGCTGCATGAGAATATGGGTATCACGTATGTTTATTTAGGGACGGTTGTAAAAATCCAGAGAACGGAAAATCAAGCTGTGCTTTTTACATTCCTGAATTAAAAGTTAAGGCGTTTAAAAGATTAACCGATCATTTATCGGTGTCTGCAGCAGAAATGATGGCAGTCTTGTTAGCATCACAGTGGATAGAGGAAGTCAAACCATGAGAATGATAATTAGTTCAGATTCAAGCGCAGCTCTGGCCAGTCTCAAAAGTACAGCGTCAAAATGTAGGGAGGAGATTATGTTTGAAATGTTGTTGGATGGAAGTCGGAAGCGCGAGACCAGATGGATGCGGTAACTGTAGGTTTTTGTTGTTTCCTGGACAAATGACTCTTGATCAGAGATAGTGAGAGCAGCTGATGTTGGGGAGGACAGACAAATGTGTTGTAAATTATTACTGATGCAGTCAGAAACTCTCCAACCTCTTTGCAACCTGCAGCTTTGGCTTTTTTATCCAGCGCCCAGCAAAGTAACTTTAAAAAATAAAAGGACCAATATTTCAGTGTAAAAATGCTCAGCAGGTGATCAGAAATGACGTCATAACAGGAAACCAGAATAATCCAGGAGATCATTTCCATGGATGGAAAGAATGAGATCAATAAGTTATTGATTTCCAGTATTGATCAAGAAGAAAGCTGAAAGAAACCAAATGTGTTGATCACTCAGAACAAAGAAATGCAGCTTTAATAGTTTGGATCAATGAAAGATTGATGCTCAGTTCTCTTCACATCATGTTGAAGCCGTTTGGAAAGAAAAGTGGGCTCAGAGTCGGCAGAAGAAAAGGCCAAATATTGATGAAGCAGGAAGAGCAGTTTGGGATCAGATCCAGATCAGATGTTTGTGTGTCTCGGTGTTCTGGACTGATGTTGAACATGTGGAGCTGAGATTCATTTACAGAACAGAGATGAAAACATTTGAAAGCTTCTTCTCTTCAAAGTTCAGCTTTAGATCCAGAAATGTAAAAGTCCAGCAGCTCAACACTGACAGGAGACATTACTGTGAAGCAGCACATGGACAAAACAATCCCAGCAGCATCAAGACTCTGATCATCTCCAACAGCTTCCTGTGTTTCTGTCCCCTGTTAGCTGCTGCTCTCATCTGCTTCTGTCAATAAAGTTATTCAAACTGCTGCTGCTGTCTGTGCAGCTCATGTTCTGCTTTGTTGTCCTCTCAGTCTGTCAGGTGGAGGTGGAGGAGGGGGCGGAGTCTGTCCTGCTGCCCTGCAAGACCACAGACAACCTGCCTCAGGACGTCAGAGTGGATCCACTATGATCCCTATAGACGGTCCACGTGTATCAGAACGGCTCTGACCAACAGGACCAGGTTTACAGAGACCGAACAGAGATGAAGGAAGACCTGCTGAGAACTGGAGACCTCAGTCTGACCCTGAAATCCCCCACAGACAGAGACGGAGGACATACTGGTGCAAGTCTACGACAAGAAGGGAGTCCTCATGAGATGGAAATCAGTTGATCTCAGGGTCAAAGGTCAGTATGCAGACTGAGGTCAGAGTCTCTGTGTTTGTCTCTGTCTGACTGTCCTCTGTCTCCTCTGCAGAGAGAAGCAGGAACAGAAGCAGCTCCGCTGATCCAACTCCTCTGATGGCCGATCAATCTGTTTGATCTTTGATCATTGATCCGATCTGACTCTGGATCAGAGAGAAAATGGAGGTGAAGCAGCTGATGGAGGACGGATGAAGACAGGAGGACGCTTTGTCAGCTTCTTCACTCTGACTCCTCCTACTGACTCTCACACACAGTCTACACACTCACTATTGATTCCTGCTGATCAGTGATGTCAGAGTGAGGTCAGCGTGATGTCACATGGCTTGAACGGGCGTGTTTCCTGTGAACCTCCCAGCGGCTGGATAACAGCTGCGGCTCTCTGGATATTTGTGGCTCGTTCTAATGCGTGCAGTCAAACAAACTTTATTTCTACAGACACAGAGAAGTCAGCAGCTGCAGGAAATCAGAACCACTGACAGGAAGTTAAGAGTCAAGTTAAACCACATGTCAGAACTTTCTACAGCAGCAGGATTTAGAAGATGCTGGAAGCTGCTGTCTTTAGATTTTGGACCCGTCACAATTTGTCACATTTTCTGAAGCCACAACAAATCTTGTTGAAAGGAAACAGTTGATTGAAGGTCCAGTTTCAAACGAAGAGTCAAAGCTTCTCTTTGTGTCGACTCCTTTAATGAGAACATTGAAAAGGACTCGAGTCCAAGTCTCAAGTGTCCAGCTCAGATTATTCCAGCACCAACCCTGGCAGGATGCAAGTTAAACAGAAAGCAACACATTTAGTGACAGAACAGAAAGCAGCCAGCTGTTAAAATGGACTCAGAGAATGAAGACACAATAAGATTTGATTCAGTCAGACTTTCACAAGAACAAAGGTTTGTTCAGCCTGAACACAAATGTGGTCTGTAGTGTTTTTGTAGTCCCTGTTTATTCAGCGCCTCTTCCTCCTCACTACACACTGGATCAAAGCACAGCAGTTAAACCCAGAGGCCTCCAGTGGACCTGGTTCAGGCCTCTGAAACATCTGGACTCTGTGATCTTTGTCTTCCAGCGTTGACATTTGGAGCAGGTATAAACAGACGTCACGTGATCTAGTTTGTTTGAAGCGTACCGAGTCCTTCAGACGTTGATCTCAGAACTCAGCAGAAACTCCACTTCTTTAGTCTCTTTCCTCCAGGTTCTGGTTTTTCTCGTCTCTCTGTTCATTCCTCAAAGATAAAGCTGGATTTTTCATTGAAGCTGAAACATTTCAGTAAATATGCCAGATTTAGCCAGAAGGCTGTTTTTCATCTGTAGTCAGTACAAGTCAACACAAAACAGACAACATAGTAAAACCAACCCAGGGACCAGTAGACTCCAGCACAATATACTAGCAGTCATTATGTTCCAGTACACAGGTCATGAACTGTTACCAGAGGAAATCAGAAGCTTACAGTAATCTGTTGGACTCAAAGATGTTATGTTATTAAAGTGCTGTTTATGCACTCAGATCTAATTCAATAATCTGGTTTCCTGCAGCGGTTTGAAGCCAAAATAAACATTTTGCTGTGATTTCATTTCAATAAACTGATCAAAATGATGCTGATTTGTTGAACATATGAATTCCTGCTCTGTCAGGTCTGTCTTCAAGATGACAAGCAAACATCTTTTAAAACGCTTGTTTTCTAAATGGAGTTCTGCTCAGTCAGGGCGATGCTATGCTAACTTGTTTCAAGTACGACGACGGCTGGAATCATCTATCAGACACAGATTCATTTTCAGACCTCACCAGGTAGTTCAGCTTCCCGCCTCTCTTTTCTCCCAGCATCCTCCTGTCTCGTCTGTAGAAATATGAACTAGTGGTCCACGCGGTCCTTGTGGTCCGGACCGGTTGCCGAGGGGTCCGTTGCTGGTCCAAAGCCACTGCACACCTCCTCTGTATAATAAAAGCTTTATTTGTAGAGCACTTTTCAACACGGGGAACAAAGAGCTTTAAAACAATCCATCTGTCAATAAAGGAAAATAAATGAGGCGTCACACAGTGAAAGCTTTTTGTAGAAATGTGTCTAAGAAGTGAGATGAAACCAGGAGCAGACTCTGAGCCTGTAGGGGCCCTGACAGCAGAGACCCTGTCCCCTTTGGCTTTGAGCCTAGACTTTGGAGCAGTTAGCAGAGCCCTACTAGAGGATCTCAGTCTGCGTCCTGGCTCATATGGGGATAAAAGCTCAGAGAAGGTGCGTGCCCATGTCTGGCCTTAAAAGTGATCAGAAGGATTTTAAAGTGCGTCCTAAAAGAAACAGGAAGCAGGACGCTCACACTGGGCTGATGTGCTCACATTTCCTGCAGCGAGCGGCAGCATTTTGGACCAACTGTAGGTGATGAACTGATTTCTGACTCAGACAGGTATATAGGGAGGATATCGGTCTGCGGCTGAAATGAAAGACTTCACCTCGGCCGCATTTCTCAAATGATAAAAACAGAACAAGCTTACATGAGGTTCAAAACACAAGTCCTAGTTTCTGGCCGAGCTTCTTGTTCGCTTGGGTTTGTCCTGATTTCAGAAAGGAACGAACATCACAGAGGAAGACGCAGAGATGTTGATCCTCACAGGTACGTGAATCTAAACTATAACGTGGTTCATGCTGAACTTGAGCGCTCACTCTTTCTACACATCCTGGCAGAGAACGCTGGTGAGCTCCCAGCATCCTCTCCTGTACCTACTGAATCTTATCTGTCTTCACATCCTGAGCAAGGTTCAAACGTTTTAACTTAAACCAAGAGACAGCTGTTTGTGGGTCACGTTGAACGTCACGTCGCGGCAGTTGTGTTGCTATGACGACCAGCTACATTGAGGGGATCTGCAATGAAAAACAGAGCAGAAAGGAAAAACTGCAAATATGGACTGCAGGCAGGAATTTAATCCTGCCTTTCAGAATTAACAGCTTTGTTTGGAGGACTTGAAATAGTCTTTTTACTGTAATATTTTGGCTTTAAAACTAAATAATAATAATAATACTTTGCACCTGAGAAAACAACACAGGTAGTTCTCTCCATTTTCTGCAGCTTCCTTAAGATGCCATCATGCTGCTGAAGGTGAAACACCAGACTGCCAACAAGTTCATCAGACTACAGTCAGGTTTCACCTGTTTGGAGTTCGTCAATGAAGGCAGGCAGCTAACTTGTATAACTAAATGAAAGTACAAGCTTTAAGGCTTTTTTAAAAACTGTCCTCATGAGAGTTCAAGTTGGCATCAGATTTAGTGAAAATAGGGCACCGTGCTTCTCGCCACAGGCCTTTTTCTTCTTACACTGAAAATATAGCCACTTAAAAATGAATGTATGCACTGTAATCCTGAACAGTACTGCTAAGTCATAAGCATTATGGGTGAAGCACTCAAAAACAGCTAATAAGTTCTCTGAACGGGTAATGCTGTTTTAATTATATGTGCATCATTGTTTTTGAGTGAACGTTGTTATCTTACTGATGACTTATGAGTGTACAGAGGGACGCAGCGTCTGACGTCATTAAATTCAAGATGGTGAGCGAGAGGAATCTGAAAGTAATGGAGCAAAACTTTTCATTAATAATGTAATTTACAAAGTTTGATATAACCCAGGTTCCTGCGCAGCGCTGTGAAAGTGTTTTTTTGTTCTGTGACTTTATTTTATAACCGCGCGCTTTAATGACCGGAGGAAGAATCATATGTGCAGTTTGCCGCGTTATAATATGTGACTTGTAACACGAAGACAACTGGTTGGCGACACGTTTACAACGTGCAAACAACATGTGGTTGACGTGTTGTCTACGTGTTAATTTTTCACATGTTGTCAACGCGTTGATTTCACCTGATTCTGAGCCATTTGACCACTTGTCCAGTTTGAACTGGTGAGTGTTTTACTTTCCCATTGGCTGCTGAGTAGTAGGGTTAAACCTTTTCCGCTATTAAACATGCTAAGGATCCTCTAATTTCTCTTCCTTTTCTTCCTTTAGCATGCAGCCTATGAAAATGTAATATTTGGATTGCTGTTTAAGACTTAAAATAAATTAGTATTATTATAATAATAATATTATTAAAGTTATACATTGTTTTCATCATGTTGCTCATTTACTGCCTATTTTGATAAACAAACACATCAGAGGAAATTAATGCTTTTTACACCATTCATCAACTTTAGATTTATATCTTAAAAAAACATGAACAGTTGTGCGGGGGAAAATAACAGCAGTGGTACTCATTTGATGTTGGTGTAGGAAACAGACCATTGTAAAAAATACTGTATGTCTAAAACAACATGAAGCTTTTTCAGCATTTTAATGTAATTTAGGGCTTTGACCAGCAGGGGGCACATTGTGACTAATTATGGGGCTTGTTAAAACCTAAACGGACCTTGTTTAGATATTAGGCACACATATGTACACAGGTGATATTACCCTTTTTGATGAAATGTATAGCTTCCAAAGATGTCGGGATTAGAATGAAAGTTTGTAATTAGGTCAGTAACTGATTTGACTTTCCTGACAGCAGATGTACACTACTGTGCCAAACTCCTAGGTCGTCCTCATCTTATTAAAGCCTAAAACCTGAGACGTGTTTAGCCAGTTACAGCCTATTATACATAATAAGTTAGATATAATAATGTGGTTCAACAGTTTTAATTGTGCGCAATATTGTGCAAATGGTCTGATGGCTCTTGTTAAATATCAGCAGACTCCTCATTGTTGGCAATAAAATCACGAGTGTGGCTATATAGCTGCTTTCAAACTGCATTAAACTCGCTGTATGAAAGGTACGAAGCGTGAAAGGGGGGTCTGATTTGATCCACCTCTGCGCCAGGAACATGGGTAGTAACAGAGACGGAACGATGTCTGTGTGAAAAGCCACAGCCGGCATGCTGGTGTTGTGTCTGTTGGTCTTTTTCTGTCACAGCGCTGGTTCCGCAAAAATCGCATCACTATGTGAAAGCATGGTTGCGGGATTATGCTGCACGCTTTTGAATGAGCAAAATCGGCATATTGGAGATACTGGGGAAATGAAAAATCATCATTTGTACCTTAATGGATGCAGATCAAACACTGGAACACACACACACTGCAGCACATGCTATGTTGTGAGCATGTGAAACAGCCACTTTATGACCAATTTGTGGAAGTGGGGGGAAAATTCTCCCAATGTGATCAAACAACCTTCTAGGTGGGAGTCCTGCACTTTAGCAATTGAGCTAACTGAGCACCTGTCAGGATCGCTGGGAGCGCAGAGCAGGTGAGAGCCCAAATGCATGACACAGCGCTGAGATATAGTTCAAGGGTATTTAATCCAGGGCAAGACAACACAGGCATGAACCAAACTCACGAGTACAAGGAAACCGGTACATCCAAAAACCCAGAACAGGTAATGCATCAACTCGCAGAACAAACGACAACCGACTGAGCAGACATGCGACCGTGAACAGAAACACCAGACATTTATACACAGGGACTAACAAGCAGGGCGGGAGCAACACAGGTGACTGGGATCAGGGTTAACGAGGCAGAGAGACAGAAGGGGAAACAGAGAGGCTGGATGGCAGGCAGATTACTGGAGGTGAGCAGACATTACACAAGTACTGAACACTGAACATATCAAGGTAAGAAGTAACAGATCAGAATAATAAAAATAACAAACTAACCCAGACACCATCAGAGATATCACCACTAAACTAACACCAACAAGGAACACAGACTGAAGATAAAACAGAACTCAGATCAGTCGTGGGCAAAGCACTACAGAAGTACACAGACCAGGAACCTGTTTCAGAAAGCAGGTTCAACAAACTCTGAGTGTAAACCTGAACTCTGGGTTGAAGAACAAGTTCAGTCAACTCTCGTATGTTGAGCCTGATTGAAGCGCGTGCGTGGGGATGAAAAAAAGCCTCCGATACTACGATTCACCATGGCAACGGGTAAATAAAGGCAGGGCCTCCATTTTAATCGGGTGGAGCTAGAAATATGAATGCTGCCAACGCGGACCCTGATTGGCTGTAAAACACAGGAGTGGAGGATCGATACGTTAACAACGTTACATTTTATACAGCGTTGCTCATTCATCATTTACCAGACTGGAATTTCCTTAATGATTGATAAAGAGCTGGAATTCTCCTCCAGCCTGTTTTAAAAAGCTACAGGCCTGTTTATCCAGCTGTAACCTGACGGGACTAAATGCCGGTGGCAATAACTGAAGATGAAAATATTAATGGAACAGATTAGACACAGTTTAGGCTCCTCATGGACCTGTGATAGTAAAGCCACAGTCCGACTCAGTGGGTCTATTAATGATTTTTTTGTAATGTAAAATGTTTCTAGGTTCAAACTGACTGTGAAGTTTAAGACGTCTATGTTACATTAATAAAATCTTGCTCATTTCGTATTTTATGAAATGCTGTTAAAACACATTCAGACTATCAGCAGATAATGAAAAACTCACTTTTAAACTACATTTATTTGTTTCAGCTGCACCACAGTCATCCTCACTCAGAAATATTCACATCATATCCAGCTGATAACTACTATAGGAATGTTCAATCAGTGCGACTACAATGTGAAAGGTCACTGTTCACTGATCAGTTCTGTACAGATTACTTTAAACTGCAGCACTGTAGCCTTAATGTCCACACAGTCACTGAGTTATAAAGGACAGTGTAGCTTATAGATTTTATTCTGTGCTGAGGATAAATTTCCGATGTCCAACTCTCTGTCCATACATCGATGACAGATGTTCAAGATCATGTTTGGGTAAAAAGAAAACGAATGGCCTATTTAGCCGTGATTTCGATGTTTCTAAAGACATAATTGTGTTCCAATATGTGCTTTGATATCGACAGAATAATTGAGGAAATGAAACGTGTGTCAGACGGCAGCTTCAGGCTCCGCAGGAGGAGTCAGAGAGAAACTCAGCGTTAGTTGAAGTAAACCTCCTCCAGAGCAGGTTAGGTTCACAGCTCAACTTACTCAGAGTTTTCACTAAACCCGCTTTCTGAAACGGGGCCCAGGAGTAGACCTGAACTAAGATACAGGACTAAGAAGTAAAACTAAGACACCAAGAAGACAGACATGAGTGAAACCCAAAACACAACAGACTATAAGACAGATACTGAACTGATCAAATCATCAAAAACCCACAGAGCGCTAAACTAAACATAGCCGACAGGCAGAATGTGACAGCACCACAGGATCTGATTAAAATATTCTGCCTTATGTTCTGACTCACCCTCTAATGAATACAAACAATTGCTCCAATGCTAAACTTATATGCCAGTGCTGTAAATCATTACTTCTGCTTCTTCTTTGAATGTACAACGTAGTGATGAGCGTCTACACTGCCAAAATTACAAGAAGAAGAAGAACGTAGTGACGAAACTCGCTCTGTAGCGCAAGATGGCGACGTCCATTTAAGGGGGACCCGTGGTTATGTAGATAGAATTGGCTCATTCAAAGGTAATAAAAATAATTTAAAATAATTTAAATTTAAAAAGCTGTATGTTTTATAAAAGAAAGACAAAGCCTTGTTATGAGCTTTGAGATGACATGTAAGCCACTTTGCGTCCGCTGTCTAGTAATTGACACAGGTGTGTCCAAATGGTTGAGACACCAGCCAGATATTGTTTTTCACTTTAGTCTTTTGTTTGGTTTAAACTAAAGTCGCTTTTTATTGAATGTGTTAAAATCCGGTGAATCAAGTCTTATGTTTTCCATCTTGAAGCGTCTCCAAGCCTGAAAGCTTTGACAGCCATCAAGTCCATACACTATATCAGTCATAAATAACTATATAAATACAAAATAAAAGTTTAAATTGCACTTTAATAAATCCATCCATGTCTTTTCACTCTGTTTTATTTTTAGTAATTCTGTTTTATAAACAGACAGAAATAAAGCAGGATGACCACTGCTCCACCCGGCTTAATTTTTGCTAAGGTGCTGGAAGCATCAATGAGTCCAAACTGATAAAAGAGAGATCAACACACTTAAATCTATGCAGTTTATTAAGGTTTCGGTCTAACAGACCTTCATCAGAGCATAACTCAACATTGGATAGGCAGGCAAAAATAACCAATCACATTCCAGTCACTGGCAGTACCAACACATCTGTGCACGCCCATTTACTGTGAGTCTATGTGCAAGCCCTGATGACAGAGGCTCCACTTCCTGGGAATTGAGGTTTTGAGTACTGAATGGCGTACTGTCATGCATGCCAATAGAAGCCTTACTTGTCCCTTAATAACACAATACAATGTAATGACAAAGGAAATGGGAATTTGAGAGGGATCAGGCTTGAGCCATCATAAATCAGAAGTCCCCCAGATCTATAAGAAAAGGACTAATGGTTATCAGGTGAGGGGCGCCACAAACCATAGACCATAAACTGTACATGAGAGATGAAGAAAAGAAACATCTTGGATTACAGCACAACACATCAAAATCCACATTGAGGATTTTCCCTTGTTGTTTGGCACAATTGCCAGATGGATTATTCCCATCTTTTCCAGGAGCTAAAATATTCTGTTTAAAACCTGCCTTAATATTATCTCTGTGCCAGCGTGTTGCATAAGTTAGCAGCTCTTCTATAGACAAAGAGGGGAGGATCATTAAAATGCTGGGTATGCTAATGCCGGATCAGAGGCCAGTGTTTAAGAATAGCGTTCTGACAGAGTAACTTTTACCCTATTTTGTTTTGTAAAAGATCGTTCCAGAATTGAAATGCACTTTGGTAAGCCTCATCAATACACTGTAAAGAGTAGGCTCTGTCCCGAAAGCTCTTTTTTCATTGCAGCAGCTTAATCAATTAGTTCCTCAGTAGAATGACATTTGAGCGTAAATGACTCTTGGGTAAACCGTATTGCAGAGCTCGATAAGCACTGCTGGCTAGGCAGAATGCAGTCTTATCTGTTTATTTTGAGATACGGCTGCCACTGCATAATTCCATCATATCCAATAAAGACAAATGTTTATGATCATATTCAACAGAGAACTTAAGGTCAGGGGGTTCCTGTTAGTCTTAAAAACATAATGTGTGTGAAAACAAAAACATATAAATGAGCATATTCCTGTGCAAAAAGTAGAACTCATCAATGCTCCTTTACATTGTAGGAAGAAATCTCCAATGAAGGAGAAGTAGTTCAGTTTAAGGACCAAATTAGCTCACAAATAAATGGACAGGGTGGTAGTGCTTCCTCTGTGCAGATAATACTCAAGACCTCTTACAAGGAAAATCTTTGTGTAGAGGCTTTCCACATCTAAGGTGGCCAGAATAACATCATTGGGTAACTTTTTTAATGTTGATATCTATCTTTAATATATGATGGAAGCGTCTGAACAGATGGTTTAAGAAAGTGATGAAAACAGTTCATTAATAGATAATGGCTCTAGTAGAGCATCACTGATGGCTACAATAGGTTGGCCTTTGGGTTTAACCCCCCAAGTGGAGCAACTGTTGCAGGCAGCATGATAGAACTGTAAAGCTGTGACTCCCTCTCATACACTCACTCATTGCCTAGATCAGAGCTCATTAGATGCTCACATTTGGCTGCTTCAACTCAGTTTTGATTATACTGAATTCTCAGTAAATTATTAGAATTACACAATTTGTGATTATGTCTTACATTTAACTCACTGCGCATCAGAACACTTACAATAAATTAGGTAGCCTGTATTCCAATTATTTTTAACTACCTAAAACAAGTGCATATAACCTTAAACATGTGGAGCTTCTGGTGCTGATTTCTAGCGTTGTAATACCAGTGCAAGTCAGTTACAGGTTGCTTAATTGCTTGTTAAGCTGCAGCCAATCACAACACTGCCTCCCCTCCCCCACTCATTTGCAGCCTCTTTGATCTATGCTTGAGATTAGGTGAGTGCCATGAGTAACAGATTTAATAATATAATCATAAATAAACATAAATCATGTTTGAGTAGCGTTAATGAAATATTCTGTGATGTCGCCTCAGTGACTTTAATTGGGGAGACTTGAAGTGTTGTTGTAGTGTTTGCCAACATTAGCCAACTATGTAGCAAGCTAACTCAGCAAAAATGCTGCAAATGACACCTTTTGATAGAAACATTTCTGCTGTTAAAGGTTTTAATAAATGCAGGACTGCACTCACGCCGAATGTTTCAGCAGCTCAGTTTAAAATATTTATTGACGGCAGTGAAATCTTTGTCAAGTGACAGCAAGGTCTCTGTATAAGACGTGACACCTTGCTGACATCAGCACGTGAGTTTAAAAACTGTGCTGTTCAAGCTTTCCCCCCTGGCCGGGCCCCCGACTATGAATAGACACCGACTGTAGCTACATGGTGGTGATTCTGTCGTTTGTCAGCCCTCAGTTGTAGATCCATTTGGTAAAATTTGTGGGGCAAAGAGCTGAATTTTTCCATATAAATCAGATTTATCTGAGATGCTTTTGCGTTCAGCCAAAACTGTTTCCTTTCAGTTTGGTTGTGGCACACCGTGATGAAGGATTAATAGCGCTTTATTAGGCTGGGACTCTGCCTTTCTGCAGACGAGCGCCGTCTTAAGTTTAACATAGTACATCTTATGATTAAAGCAGGGGAGGATGTCCTAAATGGCCACCTCGCATGTATTATATTTAATAGGCCTATCTTAATATTAATTGGCATTAATTTACCTCTTGCCATTAGTTATGGATATGTTATGGGTTTTTTCCCGGCGACATTGACTATCTAGGCTTCTGGCTTTGCATTTCCGGGTCTCTCATTTTCTGTCACCTTTTCAGGCTGAGGATGTTCAGACAAAATACTCCCATCAGAGGACCGAGGAGAAGGGAGCAAACAAGACTTGCAACTTTCAGAGTTGGTCTCCTCCTCCATCCTGATATGGAAACATTCCACCCATAAAAAGGTATGTTTAATTACATATGCACTGTAGTGTTTCCCACAGACAAACAACTTGGGCAGTGATGAGGCATTTTCTATTTGACATTTTAATCACTTATTTTACAGCTTACACTATAATTGAATCTGCGCCCTTTCCCTTCAGTTCCCTTTTCCTCACGCTTGCGCACACACCTGCTGCAAACACAGCGGCGTGCCCCGCCTCTCTCCGCCTCTCTCCGCCTCTCCCGCCTCTCTCCGCCTCTCTCCGCCTCTCTCCGCCTCTCTCTCCGCCTCTCTCTCCCTGGATGCTTCTGCTCCGGTAACTTTTTCCACGTTTTATAAAGTCGCTAAAAAGACGGAGCTCGTCTGCTGGAATTTTCCACCCACAATTTCCTTCATAGCATCAGATGTAAAATCCAAAATGGGTCTGCCTGTAATTTACACTGCTGAGTAAGGGAAACACTGCATTGTATGTTCTGAAGAGACTGCTTCACAAATACCTTGTAGTGATTTTTCTTTATGCAATTTTCATTGTAGCGGAAGCTTAGAAGAAAAGTTAAGGTGCCAGTGTCCTTGTCTGCTGAGGAGTTCAACGCTGTCCTCAGAAATGCGTTTCCAAGAGTGGGCGACACTGATTTTGAGTTGGCAAGAGTAGATTGTCATAAAGAAACCACAAGACTTCAAGTTTGTCCACTATCACCATCTGTGCTGAAAGCCAGCAGAGAGCTGAATCGATCAGCTTTATATATATACTCCCAAAGGTACTGTACACTGATCATACCCTGAGCTGAATGTCGTCTTAATCATCTGAATCTGTAATGGCTCATTCCTATTGATGCGCTGGAACACCGATGCATATAACTGAACCATGTTATAGCAACTTTCACTCTACTTTTTAAAAGGAGAGTCTGGAAGAGCAGGTTGGAGAACAGCAAGATGGTTTTTGTTTGTTTGGTTTTTACCACCATCAAATCTGTAACGCAGGCATAATTTTAGCAGTATATTGTGGGCGTAAACTAGAACCCGACAAATGTATCGGCCACAAAAACCACAAAAGAAAACATCAGCTTCATTTATAGTGAAATGAAATCTCAAAGTTGCAAGTCCTGGTTGTAGACAGTCATGTAGTATTGGAGACATTCAAGAGCAGGTCACTGTATCGTAGACGGTGTGTTTTAGAGCCATATGGTTGAGAAATGGTTTCTTGTAGCTTTGGATAGAATTAAGAGTGCTGGTAAGGGGATAAAACTAGATGTGAATATGCTGCATTGAAAATGGTCAATATGTGTAAGGTAAAATACACATGCTGCTTCTGTTTACAGATGGCTGAAAAAGTTCTTCTAGCAGCAAATATTTATTGATGAGCAGTTGTTTAAATGTTCAGTTGTTGAGACCGTAATCTATTTTATTAACATAATCCAATTAGGAAAAGGTTTTAGAAAACGGCCTGTTCTAAGTGTAGTTTATACCAGAAAGCGGTCTATTATCCAAATCCTTTTCAAAATCTAAATATCAGTTCTTTTTCACTTTAAAATCTGCATTGGCCCCCAAAAACCCATATCAGTCGGGCTCTAGTGTAAACATCCAGATCAAATAAACAATACGTGTTGTTTTTGTGTCTTTAGGATGCAGAAGAGGTCTCGAACTCTGGCCAAAACCTGGACCAAGATGATATGGGGCACCCATTTTAAGCTCTTTCTAGGCTTGTTGTATATTTCATAATGGCATATTGCATCTTTGGCCAACAAATGGGGTGTTCTGGTATTTTGAAGGATGAACAGGAGGTCCATACTTCACAAAACTGCCTGGAGAGACCTAATGCAATGGCGAGGGATGTAAGTACAGTTATCAGCACTATCATTATCTAATTAACATTTTTTATCAAAATTATTACCCAACCAAAAGTAATTTCCTTTTGAAATGTTAAGACAAGCGATTGTTGCCATTGTAATGTAACAGTAAGCATGTTTTACAGCTCGAACGTGAATCTCATGACACAGAGAGAGTGGAAGTAGCAGATGATGATGCTGATGTAAGCTTTTGTCTTTACTAGGGACTGAATATAAAACTAATGTCAATCATAATATAATGTTTTTACATTTTTAATGTTTCCTCTAGGATTTACATGAGTGGCGTGCACTTCACAAGACAAGATGAGGAATACATACAAAGTCTGCAAACTGAGCAGGAAAGGGTAAGCACACAGCAGTGTTTTATAAAATGTCCCCTCTTCGCCCAGGTAAAGTATGTTAAACACTTACGTTAGTGCAAGCTGTAGGCCTATATTTTGTAATGTTGTATTTAATGGTAATGTCTTTACTGAGGTGTTTGTGTTTTGTCAGGACACTTTGGTTCCTGAAGAGACCACTCCTCAAAACATCTCATCTGGGTCCTCTGATACCACTGCTGGTTTCCTGGATTTGAGTCATGTCAAAGAAACTACCGAGTAAGTGCTAGTTTCATACTTCCATTAATGGATTAAATGAGTTGCGGCCATCAGGCCAATAAAGTGCTACATACAGATTTTGAATGTTGCAAGTCCCACCTGAAAAAGGTTTCTGGTGGTTGTTGTTCTAGACCAGATCTGAAAACCTTACTGACAACTCTGGCATCAAAAGTCTGGATTGGAGAGACGCCCAGCAGTAATATGATCAATGTATGCAGAGAAAACATAATGGATGGTGCCATGCGAGCCTTTACAAGAAGGAGTTTCAATCCAGAGGCCAAATTAAGCGTCATATTTATGGATGACTTCATGCAAGCAGAAGGTTCAGTGGATGAGGGGGGCCCTACACGGGGGTTTTTCCGACTGCTCTCAGAGATAGCAGCCTATTTACAGGGCCACAGAACAGTAAGAACCTGTCCCTGGACAGCCATGGTTAGTACCCACACATGCCATTAATCTAAGTCATATTCTAACAAATTGATTGTATTCCTGGCGGATTAAGATTTTAGATTTGAGTTATAAACACCTTATTCTGCAGAGATTTGCCACCTGTTAACCACTGCAAAATGTATTGTTCTACATTTCCATTATGCAGCATTACACAGAGGTCTCTACAGAACGTCTCGGGTTACGTATGTAACCCTGGTTCCCCGAGAAGGGGAACGAGACACTGCGTCGGTTACGACACTATGGGAACGCCTCTAGGCGTAGCAGGTCTGAACGTGAATGAAATCACTCCAATCCTATTTGCTTGTTGCTAGAACGGTAAGGTGTGACGGAATAACCGGAGGAGTATAAAGCACACCTGTACACACTCATCATTAGCTTAAACTATGAAGCAGGCGCTTCAGGCAGGGAGAGAGGTGTGGCGGGCCGACGCAGTGTCTCGTTCCCCTTCTCGGGGAACCAGGGTTACATACGTAACCCGACACGTTCCCCTTCGAGGGAACTCGAACTGCGTCGGTTACGACACTATGGGAACGAGATACCCACTAAACCGTGCCAAAAACCCCGCCTGCCCCAGTGTGCAATAAAGTGGCACGACTAAGAGGAGAGCGCACGAGTGCCATGTGCCGAAGGAAGGTCAAGACTGTAAAACCGAATGAATGTGTGCAGAGTGGCCCAGCCAGCCGCTAAACAAACATCCTGCAAAGAGGCCCCGGAAAGGGGGGCTCGAGAGGCAGCGATACCTCTGGTAGAATGAACCCTCAGAGCCACAGGTGAAGGCAAACCGCGCACCTGATAGGCCAGGGAAATAGTCTGAACAATCCAGTTGCTAATAGTATGTTTGGATGCAGGGAGCCCAGCCCTGGGAGACCCAAAACACACCAGCAGCTGGTCAGCCTTCCTCCAACGGGAGGACCTCAGAGTGTAACACTCAGTGCTCTGACAGGGCAGAGCAGATGAAGTCTCCCGTCCTCCGCCGTCACATGAGGTGGGGATGAAATGCCTGCAGCACTGTGGACCCTGCCGCACAAGAAGGCACTTTAGGGATGTATCCTGGACGAGGCTGCAGGATAGCCCTAATATTCCCCGGGGCAAACTCCAGGCTTTGCGGGGAAACCGAAAGCGCTTGGAGCTCCCCCACCCTCCTCAGAGAGGTGATAGCAAGGAGAAAGGCCATCTTGAGGGTCAAGTGCTCATCCTCAGCTGACTCCAGGGGTTCGAAGGGGGCCTCAGCCAACGCCCCAAGAACCACCGCCAGATCCCAAGTGGGAACCTTGGACCGAGTCGCAGGTCTCATCCTCCGAGCACCACGGAGGAAACGTACAACCAAGGGAAGATTCACCAAAGACCCCTCCCTCAGAGGGGTGTGGAAAGATGAAATAGCTGCCACGTACACCTTGAGGGTGGAAGGGGAAAGACCAGCAGGGAACCGGTCCTGGAGGAACTCAAGTACCTGAACCACCGGGCAGGTAACAGGGTCCACCGACCGCTCCCTACACCAAGTGGAGAAAACACTCCACTTCAGGCCGTACATCCTCCGTGTGGATGGGGCCCTGGAGCTGAGGAGGGTCTCGACTGCTATGGCTGTTAGACCCGCCTCTAGGTACTGTGCCCCCTCGGGGGCCAGACCCACAGTCGCCATATGGGGGGGCAAGGGTGAAGAACCCGGCCCTACGCCTGGGACAGCAGGTCTCTCCTCAGAGAGACCTGCCACGGCGGGCCGTCCAGAAGCAATCATGATGTCCGAGAACCACACCCGGGTTGGCCAGAACGGGGCTACGAGCAGTAGGTCGACATTGTCCTGGCGGACCCGCTCCAGAATCCCCGGGAGCAGAGCGACTGGGGGAAAGCGTACAGACGTAGCCTCGGCCACGAATGTACCATGGCGTCCAGACCCAACGGGGCTGGAGGAACGAGAGAAAACCATAGCGGGCGGTGCGTAGTCTCTTGAGACGCAAACAGATCCACGTCTATGGGGCCGAACTCTTCGCACAAGAGCTCCACCACTTCGGGGTGAAGTCTCCATTCCCCGGGCCTCAGCCCCTGCCTCGACAGCAGGTCTGCTCCCTGATTCTGCGTCCCCGGGAGATACATCGCCCTGAGCGATAGTAACTCTGCTGGGACCACAGGAGGATCTGACGCGCCAGTCTGTACAGAGGGCGCTAGCGCAGACCGCCCTGGTGATTCAGATAGGCCACCACCGCTGTGTTGTCAGAACGAACCAGGACGTGGTGGCCTTGGAGATCGGGCAGGAAACTCCTTAGAGCCTGGAACACCGCCAACATCTCGAGACGGTTGATATGCCACTCGGATTGATGCACCTGCCAGGATCCCCTTGTAAAGCGGCCGCCCATGACCGCGCCCCAGCCCGTGAGGGAGGCATCTGTCGAAATGACCAGCCGGCGACAAGACCCTCCCAGCACGGGCCCCTGGGACAGGAACCAAGTTTCCTTCCAAACTGATAGGGAACGAAGAAACTTGCGCGTAACCCAAATCAGAGAGAGGATTTCCCCTCGGGGAAAAACCCTTGGTCCTTAGTCACCACTGCAGGGGTCTCATGTGCAGCAGTCCAGATGGTATTACGCTGGACGCAGCCGCCAGGAGACCCAAAACTCGTTGAAAGTGTTTTATAGTGATGGCGTGGCCTAACTTCACCCCTTTCACGGCAGCCAATATGGTGTCGACACGTGCCGGAGACAATTGTGCCCGCATCGTTGTCGAATCCCATACTACCCCTAGGAACGTAGTCCATTGGGTGGGCACCAGCACACTCTTCTTTGCGTTGAGCCTCAGCCCTAAACGCCGCAGATGAGCCAGAACGACATCTCGATGCCGAACCGCCAACTCTCGAGACTGGGCTAGGATGAGCCAGTCGTCGATGTAGTTGAAATCTGGATGCCATGGAGCCTCAGCGGGGCCAGTGCTGCATCCATACACTTGAATGTGCGAGGGTAAAGTGCCAGGCCGAATGGAAGAACCCAATACTGGTAAGCCACACCCCCGTAGGCGAACCTCAGGAACTTCCTGTGAGAAGGAGGGATGGAGACGTGGAAATAGGCGTCCTTTAGATCTATCGTGACGAACCAATCCTCGGATTGGATGTGCGTCATGATGACGGGGATGATGAGCATCTTAAACCTGAATCTCCCCAGAGACCGGTTAGAACCCGCAGATCCAAAATAGGGCGCAGCCCTCCGTCCTTCTTAGGGACTATGAAGTACCGGCTGTAGAACCGGCGTCTCTGTCTGGGGGGGAGACACGTTTCACGGCCCCTTTCCTCAGCAGAGTAAGAACTTCCTGACCCAACACCGGACCTTGCTCCGGCCGGACCACAGTCCAAACCACCCCGTAGAATTTTGGAGGGCGGGTTTTAAACTGTAGTCGAAACCCAACTATGGCAGTGCGCAGGACCCACGGAGAAATGTTCGTCAGGCTCCGCCAAGCCTCTGCAAAGTCTGCCAACGGAACCAGCCCCTCGGGGCTGGTGGTCAGTGTCTCGTGTGATCTTCTGGTGAACCCCTGAAGCCCCAGAATGGCAGGGGAGAGCCGCCGAAGATCCACGGTGAGTGAGTCTGAATGCCGCCTGACTGCAGACCCTCGGGCAGGCAGTACGGCGTGGACTCGATGGTGGCAGGTGCGTCCTGAACGTGGGAACGGGAAAGACTCCCCTACCCCGGTCTTCCCTGAGCTCCGTCAGGACTGGATGACGGTCCTCAGATCGCGTCTCCACCCGAGGCATCCTCACATAACCACGGTCCCTAACCCCCATCACATTACTGTAGTTCAGTGATAGGGGTGTGGAAAGCCATGTAGAGAAGGGTCTGTCCCATGATTACTCAGTTCTCATGTAAATCAAGAAGAATGGCAGAGACCAGCGTGGAGGTGGCACGTGGTGCTTAAGAAACCTTTCATAAAGCTTACCACTAGCCTGTGGTGTCTGCTCCTCCTGTGGCCAGTTGATGTTGACCTTAACCACGGCTCTAGTCACCACCTCCAGCAGTACGTCATAGTCGGGCCCCGCCTGATGACGCCGCCCCGACACCCGGAAGTCATCGTCCACTACACTGAGCATGTTGTTGCAGCGTCTCCAGATCCAAACCGCGAGCGGGAGAAGCCGAGAACGGGCTCCCGAACGAGGAAAGTAAGCGTCGGAACCAGCGGATGAAGGTTGGGAAAAAGCCTCAGCCGTCCCGAAATTCTCCAACATCGCTGTGAACCCAATGATTGAGGCCGCCGGGCTGCCTCAGCGGCCGCAGGGGCCGCGCTGCGGGGAGAACACATCCGGCCATCCTCGGAAAAGAGAGCCATGCTGTACCTCAGTACCCGCACGGAAAGGGCTTCGCAACGGGCGCAAACAGCCCCCTCAAGAGCTGCCCGGGCGTGCTCCATCCCCAAACATGAGACACACATCTCATGAGAATCTCCATCCGTGATGTACCGAGGGCAAGAAAAAAACACACCTTCTGTACATCTGGTTGCCGGACATGCTGGTAGACTTCTTCTTCAGGTAAGACACACTGCTTGTAGGACTGGAGCTTTCTTCAAACAACATACAGAGCGCCTGCTGAATAAAAAAAGCTAATGATGAGTGTGTACAGGTGTGCTTTATACTCCTCCGGTTATTCCGTCACACCTTACCGTTCTAGCAACAAGCCAATAGGATTGGAGTGATTTCATTCACGTTCAGAAGCTGCTACGCCTAGAGGCGTTCCCATAGTATCGTAACCGACGCAGTTCGAGTTCCCTGGAAGGGGAACCTATGGAGTTATGATGGCTGTGGCACTGCTGCATGGAGGAGTGTTGCCTTCTTTTTCCAGAGAGGCTCTACCAAAACCTCTGCTCTACACCCACATTACCACCCGCTCTCAAAGAGGTAGCAGATCCAGATTTGAAGTGGAAACTCAAAAAGGTATGTGAATTTTGTCTGTCCTTGCTGTATTTTTTTTTTTCTCTAAACAGTGAAAGTATCTTGAAGGCCTGCTTCTACTAATGAATTGTACGTCATAAAGATCAGTGAGGCCGGTGATATAACAGAGGCTAGAGCTGCCATTGAGGAAGCTGCAGAGAGCCTGTCCTTGTTGGGGTCCCTGAGGCGTCTCACCACCGTGGAGGGACGGGACCGGCTGGTTCAGGCTGCCACAAGTTTCTACGTGGAAGGACAAAAGAAGCCTCCCAACAGTGAGTATTGTGTATAGTCCCACACTTTATCTGTAATGCTGGCTACAAATTGTAAATTGCATTTTAACTCCTTAATTTTGTTGATGGCAGAGCTACAGTGCTTGGACCAGATTTGACTTATGTTTTGAGGAAAATGCTTGGGTGAGCTCACATCAATATTTATTGCTGGAAAAACAAACCTGCATGGTGCCACATACTGTTTAATAGTGCACTTGCTTCTGTTTGATTGGGCCCACTGCTTGACTGGTCACAATTTTTTTGTGCGACATTCCTGATTCACTTAACCTATGGAAATTGCTTGGTTCTCATCACTGGGTGTGTTGGGCAGATGTGCTTTTTAAATGTATTTTCCTTAACATGCTTTCGTATAAATCGTGTGTGTGAGACATGGTACCTTGCAGGACAAACATACACCTTCTAATCATTTTGGTTCTTTACAGACTTTCTGAAGGACTGAACACACTTGGTCTCCTGGACCTGATGAAAATTCACGCCAGCATCTTGAAGGAGGTGTTTTCTTCATCTGAGAGGCCTCTAAAGGCCACAGACTTGATCTCCCTGTTCCAAGTGACACTGTCCCCTCCTGGAAGCAACCGGTGGCGCCTGGAGAAGAGAGTGGAAGGGTACTGGAGAGACTTTCTTCTAGATGTGGAGGGTAAATAAAGGATTCACTCTTTTTGAGTGACTCTGACTTGCTGACACAAACCTGCAGATCATCAGATGTTAATTATTGTATTACCTCACTATTTTACAGATGGTGTGTTTGAGGTCACAATGGAGCAAATTTTGGTGTTTGCCTCTGGAGCCGACAGAGTACCCGCTCTTGGTTTTTCTCCTCACCCAACGCTGAACTTCATTCACGACGCAGGGCGGAAGTACCCTGAAGCTAACACCTGTCTTGTAAATTTGAAACTTCCTATCCATGACACTTACAGACAGTTCGCCAAGTTTATGTGCGATGGCATTATTCACGCTCCCACTTCTGGTCTGGCTTAAAGTCACTGACAGCTATTTTCATAATGGCTGAACTTTGAATGTCCTGCCTGCTAACGTTGTTCTCAGGTGATGATGTTAAGATGATTTGAGGTAATTGTCTACTAAGGTCTGTAGTTGATGACCAGTGTGACACGTCCTAATTAAAAGCTCTGAATAATCAACCAAAGTAGATGAGGTTTGTTACAGAACTTGAGCAATGCTGTTTGAAAGTGTATCTCTACTAATAAACTGCAGCCACGTCTCCCTATGCTGCCAGCAAGCTAACTGCTAGGTTGTAGGCCTGGTATTGTAGGAAATTGGAGATATTTTCCACGTGGCTAAGTAAATAACTATTTAATAAACATTTATCACTAACTACGTTTTGTAATGTCACATGTTTAAGTAACGTTTCAGCGGACAGCTTTAGGACTGTAACACATTGGTGATTGAGTTTCCTGCCATTAACGTTATGACTTTTAATTATTATTTTTAGTTAACGTTATACCGGGAAGCAGATTTTTATTACTTGGTAGAAACCATCGACTGTAGAGTCCCAATTAAAGACAGGACAACATTTACTGTTAATACCATGAAACTGAGTGCCAGATTCCCCAACCGGCCAACCCCTTTTTCTTTCAACCTCTCTGGCATGCTCCCATTCGATACTGATAAACGTTACATTTTAATTATTTTTAGGCGATGGAACATTAACCCTACTGACTGTGTTTTTAAATAAGGAGCATCTGTGCTGGAGGGGTTTTCTGACTGCTAACTGTTAGCTGTGGTGGTGGGAGGCGGCTGGTCCGGTTTGAAACGGATCGCTGGAATGTATTTCCCCCCCACCCCTTCATAAGTCAACGTGTCGTGGAAAAACATGTTAAGAGGGACATTGTATGAAGGGGACGTGAACAGGACGGGCAGCTTGTCTAGGAAGTTAGTAAATGCAGTAGCAGTTCTGGCATTAATAATGGAAGAGAAACTGCAGAAGTCCCAATGATGCGAAACTATGAAACTGTATTTTCTGTAAGATATGACACTAACTAGTTTTAATCTGGAGGTCACACGCACCCCCACCCATTCTTTAAAATCTCTTTCACCCAATATCGGTCTAATAACAACCGTGGCTCGCGCCCTGTTGGCCTCGCCATATCAGATATTTGTCCAAGGACGTCTTCAGAGGCAAACACAACCGCTCACAGCCATGGCAGAGATTTTGGATCCGACACTGCTCAACAAGGGGCTGCGGCTGCAGTTCCTGTTCTGAATTGGCAAGAAAGAGTAACAGTTCCTGCTAACCGATTCGGTCCGAGCCGTGCACAGACGCGACAAGTCCAGGATGTGGACACTCTGGCGGGACCGATTGGTAGTCTAGCCATAGATAATGTTTTGGCCATGCCTCTGTATTGTTCCCTTGTTGTTTCCCTCTCCTGCCGGAGGACCAGTCAGTCTCTCCGTGTCAGCTAGAGGAGATACCGGTAGACCAGACCGCTCACCTGCTGTGGAGGGGGGAGTAATTGACCAGTTCAGCTTCAGTCTTCTTTACCCTCCTCTTGGCTCTCTTCTCCGCCTTGCATACACCCATTTATAATAACAGTGGCATTTATGCTCTTACAATCCCAACTGTTCTTCTTTTGATGACAGTATATTTCTCTCTGTGTCTCAGGATTATACAACAGTTTCTTGCCAGTCTCTTTGCCAACTCTGGATTCCCTAGCTTACCTCCCCTCTCAAGGTAAGATTACATTATAATAGCTTCACAGTGTAAGGTCTAGTGGCAGTGTAAGCATTGTTTCTAATTAACATGTGGTGTCTGTCTCTCTCAGGACGGTATCCTGCACTCTAATCCAGGGGATAATGAATCCCTGAGGAATGAGAGGGTTAGATGCCGTGATAACGCAGGTAAACCAAACTTAATAGAACTTAACTCAAACTTTATGTCCCTGCCACCTTTTCATTTCTTTGCAGCTCACAGATGTGTTTTTGTCAGTGTAGTTACTGGGTCAGTTGCAGAACACAGGCCCTCCTCCAGCTGATAGAGAAGATCTCTCCTCTCCCATCTGTCAGTATGAAATGTGAATGGCTGCAAGACAAAATGGATAAACTGACAGCACGTGTGTCTGATTGCAGGTTTAGAGACAAAAGTGAGTGGAGCTAACTTTACGTCCTATAAATGTAGCTACATAGCATTATTAGTGACTCCTGTTGCTGCTATTTTTATTTCTGATGCTGCTGCTATTAGTATAGATGCAGATACATGTTGAACTACGCACTTTACAATGCTCCAACCACACCATGTTCACTCCGCCTTACAGAAATAGATCAGCTCTTTTTTTGTCTCGTCTACTGTAGTTATTGTGTTGTGTGGAGTCTTGTAAGTTGATTATTGTGATCTTGTTTTTAGTACCATGGAACATTTTGTTAATTTATGTACTCGGTGTATTGATTATTATTAGTGTATTAATGTACTGTTAGCTTTCCATTTCAGTGTTCAGAAGTCTGCAGCCCAGGGGAGATGTTTGCTGGCGCTTACTGCCTTCACTTTCCAGCAAGTAGGGAAACAACAGACTTATTATTAGCGGACACACTCTGACCTACACTGTACATTTACTGCCACACTGACAGCTTATTGCTCGTATTTTCCTCTGCTCCTCTTGCTTTCACATTCGCTTGTCATGTTCTGCTGCCTGTCACGTAGGTGTCCTTTGCAGAATGAGGAGAGGGAGCCAATTGTTAAATGTTACCGTGCTCACACTGTGCGAGTGAAAATCATTAGTTGCTTTTTTATATACAGTCTGTTAGTTGCACATTGATAATAATAACCCTGTGAAGTATCGATTTATGTACTTATTTTCCCCACCCCTAGACTGTCTGCTTTGTTTGGGTTCCTGCCCATGTAGGGGTAGCAGGAAATGAAGACGCTGATATTCTGCCATGATTCTGTATACTGTAAAGATGTCTTCCAGTTCATTTAGTTCCCAGTATTCTTGCCATATTTTTTGCATTTTCTCTTTAATGATTGTTTTAGCTTCAGATTTACTTAGCGGAACTTGTATATCAACTGACTTTGATTTAAGTGCTGTTTTGCCAGAATATCAGCGTCTTCATTTCCTTCTACCCCTACATGGGCAGGAACCCAAACAAAGCAGACAGTCCAGTCCTTATGATATAATCTACATAGAGAGCTATGAATACTAAATACCAGATCCAGCCTACAGGACTTAACAGATTTAATACTGGTGAGCGCTGCCCAGCGATCTGATGCAATGACCACCTTGCTTTCCTTATTTTCTTCTAGCCACTGTAATGCCATCAAAATGGCCATAAGCTCAACTGTATATACTGATAGATGATTCTCTTTTTAATGCCTATTTTGTATGCTGGGATGTATATGGCAGCTCCTGTCCGTCCGGTCTCTGGATCTTTAGAGCCATCAGTAAAGACCATGCGGTTATCTCTATAGTGCTGCTCTATGTAACTTTGTGCTCTTCTTCCCGTGTGTGCTTGCTTGGATTTCTTTTTGATTATTTGCTGTATATGCAGGTCAATGGATGGATTTACAAAAAAACACGGAGGAAGATCTGGATATGGGAGTATTGGGATATATTTTATACTGTACAAGCAAAGGCTTTCTGCTTTCGCATTTCCCACCCATCGAAAACTGAAACAGCTGCTCTTATTGTGTCCCCAACATTCTTCTAGGCTGGCTTTAGCGCGGGGTGAGAGCTACAGTGTCCCTGAAGATTAGCCCAGTATGTTAGCATAATTCTTGTTCTTCTTATTCTTAGTGGCTGTTCCCCATTTCCACTTGCATGGCAGCCACTGGAGAGGTCTTAAATGCTCCACTGCATGTCCTTAATGCTTGTGCCTGTTCCACATCTAGTTTTTTAAGATGGCATTCTGCTGCTGACATATTTGCTATACATCCATAATGTAGTGTAGATCTCATCAAGGTCTGGTATATTTTAAGCAATGATGTTGTAGTGGCCCCCCAGTCCCTTCCTGACAGACATCTTAAAAGGTTATTGATTTTTTTGCATTTGTCTTTGACCTTATCAGTGTGCTGTTTCCAAGTCAACTTTTCATCAAACAACACTCCCAACAGTCTGATAACTTTTACTTGTTCGAGGGTTTGATCATATAATTTTAAGGACACTTCTTTATGTCTCCTGGAAAAACATATCACTTGTGTCTTTGCAACCGACACCTTAACACCCCAGTTATTTGCCCACTGTTCCACCTCCACAATTACTGCCTGTAATTTTTTCTGAATAAATTTCAAATTCCGTCCTCTTACCCATAGGGTGCCATCGTCTGCATACAAGGACTTCCCAATACTTCTTTCCACTTTTTCAAAAATATCATTGATCATGATGTTAAATAGTACTGGACTACACACACTGCCTTGTGGAGTACCATTTTCAACTTTATAGAGTCTTGAATATTATGTGCCCACCCTGACCTCTATTGCCCTGCCAAATAAAAAGTCCAACACCCAGTTGTACAGTCTACCACCTATACCTAATTATTTAATTTGATAAGTAACCCTTCCTTCCATAACATATCGTATGCTTTTTCAATATCAAAAAAGACAGCTACCACAATCTCCCCATTTGTCTGAGCTTTTTTGATTTCAGATTCCAAACATAAAATAGAGTCCATTGTATTTCTCCCTTTCCAAACCCACTTTGGTATGGTGAGTACAGATCTCTGCTTTCTAGAAAGAATGTTAATCTGTCTGTTATCATACGTTCCATGGTTTTCCCCAAATGTGATGTGAGTGCTATTGGTCTATAACTTGATGGGTCTGATGGATCTTTCCCAGGTTTTACTATTGGTACTATGATTGATTGTTTCCATGCTATTGGTATTTTGCCTGTTTCCCAAATCTGGTAAAATAATCTTAAAACTACAGTAAGTGCACTATCTTCCAAGTGAGCTAACATGCTATAACAGATGTTGTCCTTCCCTGGAGATGAAGTCTTGTCTTTGAGATAGCCCTCCTTAACGCAAATAAGCTAAATGGTACATCTAAATCATCAGTTGTTGTGCTCTTCTGTATATTGACACCTGGGTTCATGGCAAGAATGTTATCTCTGCACTTTCTGGCTTCGACTAATAAATTCTCTGAACTGTGTACTTTAACTAATGTTTCTGCCAACATTTCTACCATCTCCACATTACTGATTGCTGTTTTATTGCCACTTATTAAGACTGGTATTATATAACTCCTTCTGATTCCACTAATTTTTCTAGCCATTCCCATATATCAGCCAGTGATGTCTCTCTTCCAGTCTTATTGCAGTAATCCCTCCAGTATGCACGTATTTTTGCTCTTATAGTCTTCCGGACTATGGCCTGTGATCTTTTGTAATTAATTAATGTCTCTAGTGAATGATGTTTTTTAACTGCCTAAATGCCTTGTTTCTTCTTTTAATAGCTTTGCTACAATTTACATCCCACCATGGTACGTTCTTTTTCACTCTGCTCCCTGTACTTCTTGTATCGTTTCCTCTGCTGCCTTTATAATGACTCCCACCAACTTTTTATATATTGGTCCCCATCTGATAAATCTTCTCTGATTAAACTCTCACACTTATTTTACATAATTTTTGAAATGTGTCCCAATCCGCCCCATCTAGTTTCCACCTTTTATTCTTGAGTTTTCCTCATGATGTACTCTACTCCGATCTTAACTATTACAGTGGGGGAAAAAAGTATTTGACCCCTTGCTGATTTTGCAGGTTTGCCCACTTACAAAGAATGCAACAATCTACAATTTTAATCATATGTACATTCTAACAGTGAAAGACAGAATCCCAAAGAAAATTCCAGAAAATCACATCATATGAATTTATAAAAATTGATAACCATCTGATGAGGAAAAACAAGTATATGACCCCCTACCAAACAGCAAGTATTCTGGCTCCTACAAGCCAGTTAGTCTTTCTTTAAGACACAGCCCCAATCCCAACCAATTATCTACATCAAATACACCTGCCTCACCTCGTTACCTGTATAAAAGACACCTGTCAACACCCAAACAACCAGCATCCAACATCACCACCATGGGCAAGACCAAAGAGCTTTCTACGGACATCAGGGACAAGATTGTTGATCTGCACAAGGCTGGGATGGGCTACAAGAGAATCGGAAAGCAACTTGGAGAGAAAAGATCAACTGTCGGTGCAGTTATCAGGAAATGGAAGAAGCACCACACCACCGCCAACCTCCCTCGGTCTGGGCCTCCACACAAGATCTCGCCTCGTGGGGTGTCCCTGATCATGCGAACGGTGAGGAATCATCCCAAAACCACAAGGGGGGAACTGATGAATCAACTGAAGGCAGCTGGGACCACAGTTACAAAAGAAACGGTTGGTAACACACTACGCCGTCATGGATTGAAATCCTGCAGCGCACGCAAGGTCCCCCTGCTCAAGAAGAAACATGTACAGGCCCGCATGAAGTTCGCCATTCACCACCTGGACGACTCAGAAGAGGCCTGGAAGAAGGTGATGTGGTCAGATGAGACCAAAATAGAACTTTTTGGCCTCAACTCAACTCGTCGTGTTTGGAGGGCAAAGAACACCGAGTACAACCCAAAGAACACCATCCCCACCGTCAAGCATGGTGGTGGCAACATCATGCTTTGGGGGTGCTTTTCAGCCAAGGGGACGGGACAACTCCATCGTATTGAGGGGAGGATGGACGGGGCCATGTATCGTGGAATTCTGGACCAACATCTCCTTCCCTCAGTGAGAGAGCTGAAGATGGGTCGAGGATGGGTGTTTCAGCACGACAACGACCCTAAGCACACCGCCAAAGCAACAAAAGAGTGGCTGAAGAAGAAGCACATCAAGGTTCTGGAGTGGCCTAGCCAGTCTCCAGACCTGAATCCAATTGAAAATCTTTGGAGGGAGCTTAAAATTCGAGTTGCCAGGCGACAACCTCGGAACCTGAATGATTTGGAGGCTGTCTGCAGGGAGGAGTGGGCCAACATCCCTGCCGAAATGTGCACAAACCTTGTCACCAACTATAAAAACCGTTTGACATCTGTGCTGGCCAATAATGGCTTTTCTACAAAATATTAACATGCTGTTTGTCCAGGGGGTCAAATACTTGTTTTTCCTCATCAGATGGTTATCAATTTTAATAAATTCATATGATGTGATTTTCTGGAATTTTCTTTGGGATTCTGTCTTTCACTGTTAGAATGTACATATGATTAAAATTGTAGATTGTTGCATTCTTTGTAAGTGGGCAAACCTGCAAAATCAGCAAGGGGTCAAATACTTTTTTCCCCCACTGTATAGGGTAGTGATCACTACCTCCTGATGATGTATTTAACACCTCCCATGTGGTAATGCCTGCTACCCCCTGATATACTAATGTTAAATCAATTGCACTTTCTGTATTTTAAACACTGTTATATCTGGTGCCACTTCCATCATTCATGCAAACTAATCCCTTATCCACAATTGATTCCTCTATGATTAATCCATTAGTATCTGTCTTTTTACTTCCCCACAGTGAACTATGTGCATTAAAATCACCGCACCAGACCACTTTATCCCGTGTTTGCCCACCCACAGTATTCAATGTGTCTATATTTAATCTATTGCAAGGGTTATAATAATTAATTATTGTCCAGCTTTTGACTACTATTGCTTCATGCTCTTTTCCTACAGTCATCAAACTAAACCTTGTCCCATTTAGCACAAACTACCCCACCACCTTTTCCATTCACCCTATCATTCCTAATTGCTGTGTAACCCTGAATTACAAAGTCCCATTGTGGTTTTAGCCATGTTTCCTGTATGCATATAATATTGGGTTTATCTTGGAGGTTTGAGATAAAATGCTTAAATTCTTGTCCATTAGCAATTAGACTTCTTGCATTCCATTGCAGTATGGTTAGGATCATGAAGATCCACCACCCCATGACAGTGCTTGTGAGCTTGTTGTTCCTCCACTTAATTGTTCCTCAACCTCCTCCCACACTAACCCCTTGATTCCCAAGTACTTTCTGCTGCTTTAACTATTATTTAGACTTTTTCTGTTTTCTTCTCTGTTTGCACAGAGCAATTTACCACTTCAACCATAAGCAAAACAAACTCATTTTTCCCCCCAACATAGTGTCTTCCTTGATTTTGTCACATCCCTCACGTGTTCTTGACTTTTTACATTCTACACTAGCTTGTTTATTGTTTGGTCTGTCTGGTTGCCAACCTACTCTCTTGGTTGCTTCAGCGTATGTTATCCCTTCTGATGTTTTAATTCTCTGTATTTCTACAGCTCTCTTACTAGCCTCGCATCCCCTGTAGGCCGAGTTGTGTTCTCCTCCACAGTTACAGCATTTTAGCTTAGCTCCATTTACGCATTTCCCGTACTCATGTTCACCACTGCATCTTCCACACCTTTGTTTGCCCTTACATACAGCTGCTACGTGTCCATATTTTTGACACTTAAAGCACCTCAGAGGTGGGGGAACATAACGTTTGACATCGTAGCACATATAACCTATATATACCTTAGATGGTAGACTTTCCTCATCAAAAACAATCATAACAGATGTAACGGAGTTAAAAATGCACTTTAATAATTCTTATTTCCAAATTTTATCTCATTGAGTTATTTTTATTTATATTTATTTTTGCTATTTTTTCTTGTGGAAATGTAAACTCCGTCATTCCTTAGCTGCACACTACCCCTTTTGTACCTCCTAAGCTTCGTAGTGCTCGTCTCCCTCAGTCGCGTCTTGCACCGCTGAGGCTAAGTTGTGTAGAAAAGTGCTGCTGGGTTTATCTATTGTTTTCTTTGGAAATTGAACCATTTACGTTAAACTTTAAACACAAATTGTGCAATTTCAATATGGTTATGTCACGTAGCAGTTTTGTATCAGTGTGACCGTTAAAATACGTTTTATCAGTGTTTTCATTTTAACTTTCTGGCGCCAGTTTTACCAGGCAGGCGGGCCGCGTCATGTTACCTATGTAACTTGTCGGAGTTTTCAGCGTCTTGTAAACGCTGTATTTGTATGTTTAGGAAGCAGAGGTAATGTAAGAGGAGGCCAGGGGGAAATTGATGTGTGCATTGTGTTCTGCAGGTATGTGTTTTCCTTCTGTTTTTGTAACTTTTGTTGTCTCTGTCACCTCCCACACACACTTTTTATTCAGACCACCAGGTGTCGCTGTTAGGCGATGTTGTTTTGGGGAGACCTATGTGCTGTTTTTATGTAATTGTTGCATTTAATATTTAGTATTTTCTGAACAGTGTTAATGGCTTTCTATGAACACTATGAACACTATGAGCAGAGTAACTCATGTGATGTTGGAGTGATGTGTTTGTAATGTATTTTGAATACATGAAGCGCTCAGTTGCGTCTTGCACCGCTGAGGGAAGCAGAGGTAATGTAAGAGGAGGCCAGGGGGCAATTGATGTGTGCATTGTGTTCTGCAGATGTGCGAGCCAATAAATCGTGGAAAAGAAGTGATCTCAAGAGTCATCCTTCACACACCCGACCAAACCCGTTACACAGACAAGCTGTCACATCTTTCACCATTACGTGTTGTTTTCAAGCGTTTTGCCTCGGCTACACGTGCTCCTTCCACATTTTCCTTGACTTGTTCTACTGACATATTTGTGGGTATTCCCGAAATGACTCCTCGAACCTTCTTTGTATTATGGTGATCAATGATCCTTGCACTCGCTTACCTTCAATTTTGTTAAGCCGAACAGCCTTCCCTTGCTGATCAGTGCTCCATTTCTCATTACTCGCGCACTTTTCACATTGCCAACCAACTTGTTTATAGCTTTTGTTAAATGAAGCGGGTTCCACTCGCCGAATGAGGCTCCCTCCTGAGTCATTTTAATCATTACTTTGTACTCTTCGTTTCTACCTTCTGTTGAAGCTAGATGTTGTTCATTATCTTCGCCTCTCTATTAATGTGCTTGGACACAGAGCTCTGTGAACAGCCAGCCTCTTTAGCAACGACCTTTTGTGTCTTGCCCTCCTTGTGCAAGGTGTCAGTGGTCGTCTTTTGGACAGCTGTCAAGTCAGCGGTCTTCCCCATGATTGTGTAGCCTACAGTAGACTGAGACCATTTAAAGGCCTTTGCAGGTGTTTTGAGTTAATTAGCTGATTAGAGTGTGGCACCAGGTGTCTTCAATATTGAACCTTTTCACAATATTCTAATTTTCTGAGATACTGATTTGGGGTTTTCATTAGTTGTCAGCTATAATCATCAAAATTAAAAGGAATGAACACTTGAAATATATCAGTCTGTGTGGAATGAATGTATACATTATACAAGTTTCACTTTTTGAATGGAATTACTGAAATAAATCAACTTTTTGATGATATTCTAATTATATGACCAGCACCTGTATATCTTTTTTAAATAACATTTTTAAGTAATGAAATGAATTGGTAATGAAAAACCAATAAAAGGACGGATAAAGAACAGAAAGAATATAGTATCAATAAATATATCAATAAAATCCTAACAATATAAAATAAATACAATATAAATGGCAGCTTTTAAAGACAAAGATTATGATAATTTATCACTTATAGTTAAGTCCATCTCTGGGATGGATCTCTAAGCCATTTTTAATTTTAATTTATAAACATGACAATTAACTTTAATATTGTTGTTTTTAACAGACTTTGTGTTGGAGTTTGTGTTATTCTAAATTTTGAGACCAACATTAAAATTTTACAGCAAAAGGATATCGGTTCCACATATCGGTCTAATTGGTCACTAATAATCTGTATCAGTCCGGAAAAAACTTCGATCCCTAATAAACACACCTGAAAATAACACATCGCACAGTCCTCTTCCACTCCTCCATGACGACATCTTGCCAGACTTCTAGCATGTCTCCAGACCTAAAGCCTATTGAGCATCTGTGGGACGTCCTCAAACAGAAGGCGGAGGAGCCCAAGGTCTCCAACATCCACCAGCTCCGTGATGTCGTCATGGAGGAGTGGAAGAGGACTCCAGTGGAACCTGTGAAGCTCTGCTGAACTCAAATCTGGACATTTTCACACACTGACTGTCTCTCTGCTCACCCGTCTGTGTCTCAGGTGTACTGCGTGCCTATTGGTGGGATGTTGGTGAGGCAGCCGGTGTCGGTGGGCGGCAGCGGCAGCACCTACATCTACGGCTTCATGGACTCCAACTACAAACCGGGACTGAGCAAAGACCAGTGTCTGGAGCTCACTGCTGCAGGTACACACTGCTGCTGCTGCAAGGCATGCTGGGAACTGCGGTCCACTGCAGGACTACTGGCTCTGACTGACTCTCTGTCTCTCTCCTGTCTTGTCTCACAGCTCTGTCTCTGGCGATGGAGAGAGACGGCTCCAGCGGTGGCGTGGTCAGACTGGCGAGCATCTCAGAGGAGGGAGTGGAGAGACGAGTCATACTGGGAAACCAGCTGCCCAAATACTCCACACACTAAACACGTTAATGTCCATTTTGTTGTGATAATAAAGGTTTCAGTCTGTCCCTGTCCTCCTGTCCTTCTTTAAACAGACTTCTACAGTTCTGTGGGTCCAGGATTAGCTTAGCTTAGCACAAAGACTGGAAGCAGGGGGAAACTGCTAGCCTTGTTTGGTTTTCTGTTGGCTTCTGTTAAAGAACCTGTTTGAATCTGAGGGCTCCTGCCTGAAGGCCAGAGAGCGGCTCTGTCCTGCTTCATTACTACACTTTAAACAGATCAGACACAGTCATCTGGTGGAAACAAACTCCAGTCGCTGTCGCCAGTGATGCATAAACTCGTATGCAACTACGCCGTAGGCTACGCACGTAGCCATGCATTTATACCTGTGCGTCGGTGTCCCCGTCATTCTGCTATTACACCCCCAAACACTCATCGGCAGTAGCGCTACAGCGTCCACTGGGTTGACTTTTGCCGGTCGAGCAGGCTAACTTCCGGTTTAGCCCTTCGCTAACGTAAATGGGGGTAAAATTGTCTACGTGCGGCTGGTTTAGCCTTTTCAAATGTTACTGAGCGAATGGATCACATTCCGATAGTGAAACGAGTCATTTCGTTTGGGTTGTGACGGGTCAAATATATTGATCCACCTTGTTATAGCCGCCGTTTTGACCGCTAGTAAGTTACTTTAAAGCACGGGGTACTTCCCGTCGGCTCAAAAGCATTGCGAGGCAAGCTACATTTTTGGAGGTGCCCCTGTTGTTTTTATTTAATTATTTGAGAGAGTAGTTTTTTTTGTTTTTAAATATATCCAGAGTCTGTACTGTACAGCCTGATGTGAGAGCTGTTTCACAAAAGCAGAATTTAGAAATCCAGGTTCCTTGCAACGTAGGCTTAACGCACCAGGTATGTTTACTTCTGTTTGGCGGTCGTGTCACAGGTGTTGCCCAATCAGCTGCGGCAAGTTTGTGTAAACAACGGCAGGAAAATAAAGTGTGCTTGTGTACACAACGGTGTGTTTCGAGGCACCACGGTTTCCGTTGAAAAAGCGACAATGTCGAGCCAGGTAAATCAGATGAATTCCTGTCAACAGCTTTCTTCAAGAGACAACCCGGTTGTTCACAGATTTACTGATGCTGAAATGGAAAAGAATAAACTTTAAACACAGTGAGAAACCACAAATAAAGGTTTAAATAAATAAATAATAAAGAGGATTTTAAAAAAAGAAACATGGCCGCTACAGCTAATAAAACGGTAAAGAGTGAAACAGCCCTCAGGAGACTAAAACTAACCTCCCAGCTCTAACACAAAACAAAGGGTTTGGTTTGCTGCTGTCAGACCGCTGGAAACCTGATATTTTAAAGACCAGATGTTTTGAATGAACCAATCAGCAGCAGCCACTCCCAGGCTGTACTGTGAATCCAGCCAATCATAAAGAGACACCTTTAGGACACGCAGAGATCCTCTCAGGCACAGAGCACCCACTCCAACACAAACACAGGTTAGGAAAATATCGTTTTGCAAGACGAAAAGGAAAATATTCTTACATGAGATCCATTGTCTCTCTGCGCTATTTTATTATTTAATACTTCTTAATTTTTCTTAATTTCTCAATTACATGATCTGAAATGAAACTAAAATCAAATTTCTTTCCAGATACTCTTCACATTACCTGACTTCCTCCTTCCCTTACTGTAAATGTTACAAAACTGTTCAAATCGAAAGTAAAGTTTTCTCAGAGGTCAGCAGATTATCAGGAGGAGGAAAGGGACAGCTGGCTGTGAACTGATGTCCTCACTGGGTTTCTGAAGACTTCCTTTAGTGAGAAGCAGATTAACTTTGTGCTTGTTGGAGTTTCTACAGGAAGATGAAGATGTTTGTGGTGTTTGTGATCCTCGTGCACGGTAAGATAACCTTCCTCCCTCTGATCTGATCATCACCTTTTAATCTGGGTTTCTGTCATATTAACTAGGCTGTCACCAATAAAGTGAAATACTGACCAAGCGAACCGCGCAGGATGGCTAACAACACGCAATGTTCAGACTTTCTTGCTTGACACTAACACGCGTGTTACATGAGTAAATTAGTGCTTCAAAAATTCCACAAGTGTAACACTGCTGTAGGTCGATAAGATCTTAATCGATCACTGATCACAATTTCTGTCTGGTTCCTTCTCTCCTTACATGTTTCTCAGGTTGTTTGAAAGTGAAATCTGTACGTGTGTTTCAAGTAATCTTTTAATATTGATTATTGTGAAATTATTCAAATGCAGTTTCATGTGATCTGATTTGAAGCGACATCATGAGGAAGAAGAAATGCAGTTTAAATCCTTTTTATTTCTTTATTGTTTCATTATTGAACTGATGAAAAGTTGGACTGACTTCAGTGTTTAATGACATAAATCTCTGTCAGCTGTTTGTGTCTCTGACATTAAAATGTTTTCTTGAACAGAAAAAGCTTGTGTTTCCTGACGGCTTCAGTCATTTAGAGATTGATAAAGAAGTTTAGTTCTTGTTCAGATAATCAAAAGGACTGAAGGTTCAGCTTTCTGTCTGTCAGTCTGAAACAGAAACTGGACCAACAGCTCTGACAAACATGAGGAAGCTGAAGCTCCTCCTCTTTCCTCAGAAGAGATCTGTGGTGATCTGGACTCATTCCAGAGAGCTGCTTTAAAAAAGTCTGAAGACTCATATTTGCAATGAGGAAACACTAGAGGCAGAGTAAGGTACTGAAAGAAAAAGAAAATAAAGATGAAGAATAACGATACAGTAATACAAATAAAATACTACAATAAAGAGCAATACAAATATAAGAACAAGAGAATAAAATACAATAAAACAATGTATCAGTAAAATAAAAAACTTAAATGAAGCCTGGGTAAACACGTAGGTCTTTTGTTTGCTTTTAAAAATATCTCTGCTGCCCTCTGGAAGGCCGTTACAAAGACTTTGGTCATATTAAATAAAAGGACACCTCAACATCAGTTTTCATCACGGGGACTTGGAGAGATAATTAACAGGCCTCTACCAGAGGACCTAAGGGTTCTGAAGGCTCATAAGCTAAAAGCAGATCTGATACACACTCACTCGCCACTTTATTAGGTACACCTGTTTAATTGCTAGTTAACACAAATAGCTAATCAGCCATTCACACGGCAGCAACTCAGTGTATTTAGGCATGTAGACGTGGTCAAACAGAGCATCATAATGGGGAAGAAAGGGGATTTAAGTGACTTTGAACGTGGCATGTTTGTTGGTGCCAGACTATGGAAGATTTTAGTGGACTTTAATATTTGTAACCCACAGAAAACAATCCACAAATGTATTCTATATAGGGCTGAAACAATTAATCGATTAAATAGATAAAATAGATAAATAAAATGCGACACAAATTCTTTGCATCGATGCTTCGTTT